CAGTGACTTAATTCCTTGTTTTGCTTTGTTTGCATGCACGGTTTTTGCTTTGCCTATTTAACTGTTCTAATTTATTTTCCTTCAATTATTAAACTGTTCTTATCTCAACCCACGAGTTTAACCCATGGGGTTAAACCATGACAGCTTCTCTGTGAAAGAAAATCTGGCCAGATTCACCACGTTCAACTGTTGCAGAAACCTCCCCTCTAAACGAGGATGCCATTTAGCTACAGGCTGCTGGATGGACTTTCTCATGAGGTCCCAGTGGTCAGCTGCTTTGCTCGCTCTTCTCTTCCCCAGGGTGGCCTGTCCAATGAGATGCCTGAGGTCTGAGTCCACTTCATAAATGGAGACCAGGACCATGCAGCCCCATGCTGGAGGCTCAGGCAAGTGGAAGAGGGAAGCGTGGTTGAAGATGATGAACGGTGTGTGGGCCTGTGGCCTGGACTTCTGGTGCTTTTTTCTGTGGCATCTGCAGGAAACATTGAGAAAGGATATTGCGTAAGATAGTCATGCTGGAAAAGGGCTGTGTGTTGATTAGAGCTGAATATTTCAACTGTTCAGGCTTGATCCCACATTTCTCAAAGCTGGTAACAAAGCTTCTGCTGGCCTCAGTACTGCTGGAAATCAGACAACTTAGCCAAGGCAATTGCATCTTGGTAGGTACATAGCTAGCAGGACCTAGTAGGACCTCACCATCCTATAATAGTAGAGCACGATTTAACAAGGACTACCTCAGAGTAGTCTCTGTAGTTGTGGAACAAGCTCTGAAGTTAGTAGAAATGGCGATGGAGGAAAGGATTTACTCCTATTAGCCCTGTAAGTGCTTATTCTAAATCCAACACCTGCAGCAAAGCTCAGAAAGAAACAGCAGAGAGGAGCCTTTGCAACTGCTTTGCCTGTATGTAATTAGCAAAATGGAAAACAGTGGCTTTAGAGGTACAGACAAGAAGATCTTTTGAGCATTTAAGGCTGTGGGAAGAGTTCAGCGCAGGAGAGACCAGCTCAAGAATTCGAAGTCTGCTGTGCTTCTCCCAATCCCAAGGGGAAACCTTGGACATACAACTAAGAGGGAGAGCAGGACATAAAGTGAGGCAAGCAAAAGGGCTGCCTACCTTCTCACTGTTTGCATGCTAAGCACTACAGAAGGAAAATGGTTGGATCTTCCCCTTCCTCCATTCCTTCAACTAGCTGCATGGTGCAGGGGAGAAACCCAGATAAGACAAGGGTCCAAAATTTAAAGCGTTGTTGTGTTGTGCATTGAATGTTGGGTTACGGGAGAAAAAGGTCTCTCTACGTCAGCCATCTCAGGGTAGGGAGCTGTCTACAGCTTATCTGCAATGCAAAGCATCTCTAAGGCTGCGCTCAAGTGTCCATGGCCTCAGAGGGCCATCTCATCAGTGGAGGCTGAAGGACGATAGTGATGCTCTGGTTACATCCCCAAGGAGCACTGTAGCATCTCTGCACCGCCCTCACCCCAGGGCATCCTCAAGAGGAAAAACAAATTGGATCTATACTGAGGGCAACGGGGCTGTGATGACGTTTGGTCTTCAGGTCTCTGCAGGGCAGAGAAATGGGATTCAAGTCCTGTGATAGAGGGGAGAGAAGTAGAAGGCATTGCCTGAGAGAAGTAGCTGGGTGTTTCATTAGTGTGATGAGCCAACAAAAGCAGCTCCCATGTCAAAAAACATGGGATCTAACATCAGTGTGGCAGCTTTCTTGTGAGCAGCAGATGGAGGCAGCAAGGTCAACACTACCAAGGGAAGGTGGTTCTTCACAGAAGTGTAGTTTGGTGTGGAAGTCCCTGCCACAGGGCGCTGTGGATGCTAAATGTTAGCGTGGGCTCAAGGGGAGACCAAAGGAGTGCAGGGAGGAGAAATTCTAAATACACAGAAGCCAACCCCAGCTCAAGAAATCTCTAAGCCATGAAATGGAAGAGGCAGGGTGAGTACAGAGGGGGAGTATCACTTAACGCCTGTCTTCTTTCCATACTACTTTGTCCTCTGTCAGAGACAGTCACTAGGCTAGACGGACTCGTGGTCTGATTCGGCAGTGCTTGTTGGGGTGTGATGGGCATGCAAGGGACCTTTCTCTCCAACACCTCCCCATCCCTCTGGGTGCGTAAGATAAAGGTAGCAGGCAGCAGAATAAAGACTGGAGTGGCAACAATAGCAGATATAAAACCCTTACTCTTACCTGCAGTGCTTCAAGGGGATGTAGTTTTTGCCTTGAGCAGCCCAACCTCTATCCTCTGAGAGATGGGAAGCCACTTCAGCGACACAAGCACTTCTCCCACAATGTCCTGTGAAATGTTCTGAGCAGATAGCCAGTGCAACAACCTCTGCAGCCACCAAGGCCACTTCCTGCAGCTCATGAGTGTGCTCTTGGGGCCTCAGCAGCAGAGACTGAAGGGCCACCACAGTGTGCTGGCCATATCCTGCTCTTCAGTGTTTTTCTTGAGACTGAATTTTAGCTTTTTAACTTTTTAATAATTGCCAGCATCCGCTCTTTATTTGTTCAGCGTGGCAGTTTCCCTTTCTCCTAGGGAGGAATGGAAGAGTCCCTGTTCTCCCGTGTCTGGATAACCTGGATGTAAGGGCGTCTTCTGAGTTTTGAGTCCAGTGAGACATGACTGCATGAGGTAGTATGGTACAGACTACATCCACATGCATCTGTGCTAATTTGATGGTACTAATTCTTATGGCACCATGGTATTTTTTTTTTCTGGAGGGCCACAGGAAGCCCCACAGGCTGTAGACTTTGCCATGTTAGGGTACTATGAGAGCTAGGTCTGGAATTAAATTCACGTTGCTCACATTTTACATCAACTTCCCATGTATAAGGAATGAATAGGTGTTTCTTACAAACAGTTAATTGTTCGGGTTGCTGGACTTAAGATGCCACTTGTTCTCTGTTATAAAATGCACTAATGTCGTTAGCGACCACTTAAAATACACCTCTAACATTGTTTAATTGCTATTAATTCCTTATTGGAACACATCGCATCTTCATTTGGGGCCATCAGTCTCTTTAAACAAACCAAATGGCCACCAGTGTAATGCATAGTGAACTCTTGTCTCTGTGGGTGGAGAAGGGAGAAGGTGCTTCAACATAAGCTTGGTCATCAATATGCCTTCATTCTTCCCCAGAGATCTCACCTTTAAGATGCCATTTCAAACTCCATCCCTGTTAAAGTCCTTTCTTCCTGCAGATCCTACCTGAGAAGTGTGCTGGGAGCAGACGGGATCTGCTATCATGAATATCACACAGATGATCCCCAAGGATGCAGGTTGGGGATTTTTCATTAATAAAATGAAGGGATAGCTGTACTGACATGCAGCTCCCTGGCCACTGTATGGGCACACGGGGCAAGGCCATGTGATGGAGTCATCACCTTTGTAGTCTTCTGCAGCTCTTCACACTCCCAAGCTTTGGGAGGCCTTTAGCTCACTCAGGGTGACCCTGACTTCCCCCAGCGCAGCATTTCTGGAGAATTTGTTGAACCATTGAACCTGTGGGAGAGAGGGGAAAAAGCACGTCCATGGGGGTGAGGTGCAGGATGGAGCTGTGCCACAAGTGCATCCACGTGGACCAGAGCTGAACCTCATTCAAGGGGAGCTACCTGTCTTTAGGGCCTGTTTTCATGTGTTTCCATTCTCACTCATGAGTTTTTGGGGAACTCAGGATTGGGCTGTCATGATAGCAAAGAAGGCCCATACCAAGAAGTAAAACTCAGATGCTTGCTTTCAGTGGTTATCACCTGAAAAAACTCTTCTTCTATGCTTCCACCTCTGCTAACGTCCTACTGCTCTTGGACATCTGCCTGCTGGAACATCAAGCAGCATTACCTTGCCCTGTACCCTTTCTCAGACCAGCTTCAACAGGCTGTGTGAAGGCCATGGCCCCTCTGATCTTGCTGAGTCCTGCCCTTCCTCTGTGCAAGGTTTGCTCCCTGCCAGGGCTGGCCAGAGGAGTGGGTGGGTGCTGGAATCTCCTTGCACAAGGGCATGTCCTCTGTCAGCTGCCCACACTTGCTTCATGGCAGCTTCGGGCCGTCACTGCACATGCTCACACATGGCTTCGGTTCCCTCTGTGTCCCACCTCCACAGCTGTTTCTACAGCATGTGGCTCTCCAGCATGGTGCCATTTCCTACGTCTGCTCTAAGCTCCCTGGCTTTGCTGCTTGCTACCACAGGAAAACTTAATGGCCAAATCAAAGGGGCTTTGAAGTAATGTGCAACTGGACACTTGTCAAGGAACATGAGATCTGTAGCAACACATGGGAATCACCATTCAGGTTCAGACCTACAAGCCATCTAGTCCACTTATGTCTTTTGAAATAGCAATCGCTGGCTGCTCCTGGGAGGGAACAAAACCTGCCAGAGACCATTAAAGGATTACATGCCCCCAGGAAAGCCATCTGTCCCTCGTTGGTTACACCTCTAGCTAACACCTTGCGACCTGTGAGTTTGTACCAACTCTGCAGTACTGGTTTGTCTTTATCCTGCTGTTAGTGCAACTCCAGATTTCTGGGTGATCCACTTCCCTCTGCCTCCAGCTGAGCTCCTGGGCACCATGGTATAATGTGGCAAGAGATTCAAAGTACCAAGACTTCAGCTTCATGTCCTTTCTTACTGCTGGCTCATAGTGTCTGCAGATCATTCACAGGGAATAGTTGGTTGGAAAATGACCTGTCTGCTGTGGATTTCACCAGTAATGCCTTCATTGCCATCCCCTCAGCACACATTTTGAATCCATCCCAGTCCAGAGGATGTCTCACAGCTATGTGTTGCCAAGGCATGGTGTACATTCAAAATCCCTGGGCATTCACAGGTACATCTGCAGTGTTATATCTGCAGCTAGACCCAAACCAGCTCTAAATGAGGCAAGTCAGAAGCAGCCAAGCAAGAGTAACAAAGAGTTAGGGAAAAGAGGCTAACAGTAGTTGTAGGCTGTTTCTGCTCACCATGTTATCTCTACTAGAGCTAGCTCAGCTCTCCCTGCACTGTATGATATCCCTCAACTTGCTCACTGCAGTGCCATGCATTTACCCCAGGCCTCAGTTTCTGTGCTGCATCCTGCTGCAGGAGTGTGCATCCAAGCACATTTCCACAGGGAATGCCTGTGGCAAAGGATGGGAGAACACAGAGCACCAGGAAACACAGATTTCAGGGGAATCAAATCCCCCCTACACCAATACTGCAGAGCCCAAAAATAAAATGCCCAAGAAATTAGTAGGGCACCCCTTTGAAAGCTAAAGTGGTTTAGGGGTTCTAGGCTTTCTGACCCTTCTGGCTGCTGCTGATGGTAATTGGCAATCTTGGTCTTATTCGTGTTGCCAAAGGCCAACCTCCCGGCTGGCTGTACTCAGAGGACCTGGTGACTAACCCCCTCTATGTTCCTTGGAGGGGTAAGAGAAGGAGATATCTCCAGAAGCCATCACACATTTCTTCTCTGGTCAAGGCACCCTTTTTTATGTCTACTGAGCTAGCACCCCTTCTCACCTCCAGCTTCAGGGTGCTCTTCTGCACCTTGGCATCCTGCAGGGAGCAGACAAAGTGGTCCCAAAAGGCTGGCCTGCTGCAGTTTTTCACCACCTGGCTTTTCCGCTCCTGGACCACACACTGGAGCCTGGTGATGTGGGACGGGACCTGCCTCAGCAGTCAGACCTGGATGGTGGACTCAGCACACCCATGGCTAGGCAGCCCCCAGACCTCCAGGCCAGTCAAAAGCAGCTCACATTGCTCTCTGCAGTAGAGGAGGGAGAACTTCAGTGTTCCCCAGGAGCGGGGCAGGGGCCCCAAATTGCTGCTCCTACTGCTGAGGTCTGAGGTCCTCCTGGAGAAGGAGATGAGGCAGATGCACAGCTCATCCAGCTCAGTTCATAACACCTCCACCTAAGGAAAATGAGGACAAGAGGAAAAGAGAGATATGGGTCTTTTATAGTCTGGTAGTGTTGAACCTCCCTCCTGTTTCTACAATGGCAGGAAGAGAAGTAGGTGTGTTTAGACCTCATGCCTTTGCAGTAGAGCCAGGGGACCTGTGAGGGCTTGTGTGTTACTGCCAGCACCCTGCGCGTTCCCCTCTCCTGGCAGGTTGGCTCTCTGGCATAGCGCAAGCATCTAGTCATCGTTCAGATCATGGGGAAGAAAGAGCTGGAAAGAGCCTGGACTCGCTCTGGAGCCGTGTGTAAGCTCAGGCTGGACAGTGAGTGAAATGCACAGCAGAGCCCAACAGCTGTGTTGCAACAGGGAGAGCAAGCACAGCAAAGCAGCTGCTTTCCTCACCCCGAGTCATGCAGGATGGGATCTCTTTCAGCCTTTTCCCCCCTTTCACTGTGCTTTCTTTCCGGCGTTGGCTCTTCTCTTAATCAGAAAGGAGCAGCTGCAACCCTCTAATAGCCATTTTGCACTTAGCAGCTGCCGGTGGTATTTTGGTGCTGGCTCCTCTCTCCTGTTGCTGAGCCAGCTCTCATCCCCACCACGGCGCTGTGCAGCAGCGCTGCGTGCCTGGGCTTCGGCCTCTTGCAGTGAGCCCTGGCCAGCTGCGGGAAGGTCACCAGGAACTTGAGGAATTAATTTTACTGGAAACCACATCCAGTAACAGAGACACAGGCTGGAAGTGGAGAAGAAACTGTGTCTCTTCGGTCTTGGGGGAGGGAGAGGGGATGGGAAAGATTTGCAATTGTTTCTTTTGCAGTAAAAATTTGAGAGACGGATAAAGGAGAAGCAAGTAGAAGTCCAATTTTGCTCAAGTGAGAGGAGAGTTTTTGCAACATTTTCCCGAGGAATTGCTCTACCAGTGTTTTCACTTCCCTCAGCAATGGACTTCATAAACTCTGCAACTCTCCTTAACACACTTGGAAACAGGAGCAAAGGTCCCTGTTGCACACTGTGATACCTTTCTATCATCTGCTGTGTTTTGCTTCCAGCCTGAAGAGCTGAAGCATCCCAGCAGCCCTCTTTATGAGAGATCAAAAATCTGAATTTGCCATCCAGAACTTACCCAGGCTACTTCTAGTATGCTCTGGGAGGCTGAGGGGCAATGGAGGATGGGAACTGAGCGCACAGGTGCTGTGGGTGGGCTGCAATACCTGTGAAAGCACGGCAGTGGGGCTGGCTGCTGACCTAATGCATCAGTGCTTTGCTCCCCCCTTCCCTGTTGTGTGTCTCTGTGATTGTCTAGTCCTGCCAGGGAAATGGGGACGAGTGGACATGTGGCCCTGGTGTTCACGTGGCCCTGTTACCACACATGAAGAGTTTCTGTTTAAGTGGAAGAGCAGTATTTTATATTACATAGATATAAGTGAAAGACCAATATTTTATTTTATATAGAATGTATTCTATTCTATTCTATTCTATTCTATTCTATTCTATTCTATTCTGTTCTGTTCTGTTCTGTTCTGTTCTGTTCTATTCTATTCTTCTATTCTATGCTATTCTACTTTGCTTCTTCCTCCATTCCTTTCAGCCAGAAAGTCCCTCTCTTTGTGTGTTTTCTTGCCACACGTTTTTGGGTCTTGTTTTCTACCAGACTGTCAGTCAGTTCATTGCTTGACCCTGTGGGTTTTCTGAAAATGACAACGGCTCTCGACTTCGCCCTAGCATCGGTGTCCTTGCCTTGATATCTGCATTGCTCTGCTTAGTGGTGTCATGCAGAAGAGGTGGTGTTTTCTTCCCCCAAATGCCGGTCTCTGCTTTTATCCTAACCCAGCCTTCGCTGTGGCATCTCTTCTCTGTGGGAATAAAGAAAAGCTGAGTAAGTGCCATCCAGCTTGGAGATGATGACATTTGGAGATGATGATGAGAGTCTTGGAGTGGGATTTTTATTTGGTAGTTTGTGAAAGCCTTTAGAGAGCCCAGAGTTTAAAAACCCCTGAGGATCCTGTCTCTGGAAAGCAGAACATTTAGAAAGGGTACTCCAAAAATTAGTGCAGTGGATGAAGACATTGCTGTCACACGGTCTTTCTTACATTTGTTTTAGTTCATGCATAGCCCTGTCCTGGAGGGAAAGGTTAGTCTAGCTGGGAAAGATCCCAGTTCAGTGGGAAGTGTTTCTTCCCCCAACACCTGGGGCATGGGTAGGAGGACAGTGGATCCTATGGCCTCGCGCAACCTGTCTTCCTGCAGGGACAGTGTTGTCACCAGCAAGACCTTGTTAGTGGGAGCTGCTGAAGGGTCCAGTGTTAACATTGCCATCATGCTGGCACTGACTACCCGGTGTGAATACCGTATGGTTTAGACTTTCTAGGACAGCCTTGCAACCTGCTTACAATAAAAATGCATCTTGGAGCAGTCTAGCAAGCTGTGGTCAGATGGCGCTCAGGCCTGATGTTTCTGGACGAGAGAAGTGAGGCGATCTGTGGTCACGGCTTGTGACCTTGCACAGCTGAGAAGGGAAGAAGAGGAAGAAGCAGCTGGGAGAGATAATTTATTTTACTTTATTTTATTTTATTTTATTTTATTTTATTTTCATTTCATTTTTTATTTTATCATTTCATTTCATTTCATTTCATTTTTCTTTTGTAAAAGCCATCCAAGCAGAGTGGGGCTGCTGAGGCTGGGTGACAGGGCGCTGGGAAGAATTGCGGACAACGAGGAAGAGTTGGTGAGCCTGGCATCACCTGGGGCATGAGATAACAGTGGGGCTGGAGAGGACAGAGGTGCTTACGTGTCTGGCCCAGTGAAGAAGCAGCTGGCTTGTAGCAAGGCTACAACATCTGTATGGGCAGGACGTGCTTGTGGGATCCTGTAATGTGTGCCTTGTGCCTTCCTCTTGCAGGTAACAACCAGGGGAGATGACCTGCCCCAGTTTCCCACCTCTTCTTGCACACAGAGCCAACATCATTTTAACAAGAGGAACCTGCTCCCTCACCTGTCTCAAATCAGGTAATGAATATCTTTTGGACATGCAGCTTGTCACAGAGTGACTATGACAGAAATGGTGGCAGCTGGAAGCATAAAAACTGAGGACGTTGCTTGCTCAGCTCCTGTGTTTGGTCCAGGGTGGAAGATGCTTGTTGAGAGGAAAGGGTAGCAAAAACACAGGCTCCTGGTGGCTGCTGAGCACTGTTGTCCAATACTTACTTTTTCCAGTCCTGTTGTGTTTCTGGAGCTGACACATCTGGCAAGTTAAGATGGCCAAGGCCACCAGGAACAAGAGGATGGCTAATGCCAGGATCCCATACTTCCAGGCATTGGAAAAGGGCATCTGTAAGCTGTGCAAGTTGAGCATGACAGACCTCTTCTGTATTGTGTCTTGCTCCTCTGAGAGAGAGAGAAGGAAGGCTCAACATTTCTAGCATTGGCTCATGTTGTATGAGCCAAGCAGGAAAAGGTAGACAAATAAACTGGGCTGTCACTTAACACCCCATCCTGTGAATGACAGCTTACAGCAGACCAGGCGCTGCTACACAGATACATAGATACGTAGACAAACTGCAGCTCAGACCCATACATACAGAATTAGTCTTGTTGCCCTCATAGGGACTTGTCAGTAACGTCATTTACCTTTGCTTGTGCTCACAGGATCAGTACCACATTATCACAGATCTGTTCTCATCATTGCCACACAGAGAGACATCTGCTGGATTGCCCTGCTTTTGTCCAGAGCAATTCACAAAGCAGCTTATGGTCTTCCCAGATGAAAGGCCACGAGAAATGTGATGCATTTGTGATTTTCCCATGATTTTTTTTTTTCACTTCCTTGATCTCCATATATCACTGTTTCACAACTGCTGGCTGCCTCCTGGTTACTTGCCCTTCTGCTTATTGCCTTCTGACAATGCCTGACAGCAGATGCTTGGGGACAGTATAAGACTGGGGTAAACACCCAATGATACTTCCCCCCAAAATGTTCCTCCAGCCTCCTGCAGTATGCAGCTAAGGGCCTTACTTGCTTCTGATAAGCCTCAGTGGATTTTTTTAATTTCAATTTATTCATCCAATTGCCACCTTAAGCTATGTGAGATGCTAGCTTCCACAGAAGCTGTGGGTCTCAGTCTAAATAAACACTTCCCAATAATTTGCTTCCTGAAAAAAATGGGACTAAGAGGAGCCTTTAAAACTGCCCAAGAAATTTAACTCACTACTAACCTGCAACAAGATACTGTCTTTAGACTAGGAAAGCTTCTCCCTAGGAGGGGGCCTTACAACACCACCTCCTCCTGTGCTGACCAGTCCTTACACTTGTGCTTATGAATCTGAGCCTCCTTCCACTAGCAGGCTTAGCAGATCCCCAAAACCTCCAGGCAAAGAACATAGCCAGGTTTTACCCATAGATACAAGTGCCCATAATGACTCTCTGCTCACCCAGCAGGTACAAAGCCACTGGTACAGACGGCTGCCCAAAGTCTCATGCATCTGTTATCCTTGGGCATGCTCTCAGCTCACACAACAACAGGGAGTTGAAGTATCAGATGTCTGTCTTGGGGAAGGGAAATAATAGTAACCGAGCCAAGGGCACCATCGCATCAGTGAGGGGAACAGCACATTTCTGCTGGTGCAGAGTGGGCTCTCATCAGGATGGGGGGATTTTTGGAGAATCTGTGAGCTAAGGACACCTTGGCATTACCAGCTAGACCCTGACATCCTCCTGCGATAACGTCCTGAAGGCAGAGGAGTCTTTCCTGCTCCCTTGTAAGGGCATGAGTGAGCAAGGGAGGGACAGGAGACCCATGCACTGACTGGCTTGTCCTAGAAAAGCCTCCTAATGCTGTTAATCATCACTGACTTCTCTGTGTGGGGAGTGGAAATTCACATTTTTCAAACTCGTTAACTGGCTGTCATTCACCTGAGAGAAGTTACTTTTAAGAACCTGTATCTGAATTACATAGCAGATATTTAACTAAGAGCACCCAGTGCAGTTGAATGCCTCTGTAACCACCATGCCTAGCCCAGCACTCATGGTTAAAGTCAGCTTCCCCTTGCAATAGGTCTGGTATAAAGCAAGCTGCTGCCCCAGCATCGCTAAGCGAGCCAGACCACACTAACATAAGCAACTTCTCTGCTGGCACACACAACAGGGGCAGGACAGGCTTGACACTGCACAAGCATCTCCCTGTCCTCCCCATGGCCCCATCACCTAAACTGGGCTGTCACTTACACCCCGTCCTGTGAATGACAGCCTACAGCAGACCAGGCGCTGCTGCATGGATACATTTGCAACTCTGCCAGTAACAGAAAACATCTCACCCTTCTCCTCTTTTCCCAAGCCCCCCTCCAAAAGTGCTGCAGCCCCATGAGAGGCAACCCCAGAAGGTGCTTGGCTTCCCTGCTGGAGCACCAACAGCCCTGCCAGGGTCCTGCAGGCTGGGGACATCATTGTATTTCCCTGCAAAACCAAGAGGATCCCCTTCCAGTTCCTCCCAGGTGCCTAACTCAACACTGGGCAACTTAAACAAAAATCATACCTTCAGAAATGGTGTAAAAGCAGATCCTTGGGAGCCCTCTGAGAGTGTACGCAAGCCACGCTGGCACCAACATGGTAAGAGATTGGTTTGCTGTACTAGAAAAACAAGTTACCACTTGCTCAGCAAGGCAGGAGCCAGTATTGACAAAGCCGGCCCAGAACAGGGTGTACATGGGGAAAAATGTGGTGGAGAGGCTGCTGCTTAATTCACTCCAGCAAAACTGCAGAGGGCTGGTGTTTTGGGTGCCCACTTGGAAAATCTGGCTGCCAGGGTCACAGTGAGAGCTGCTCCACACCGAGCTTCCTTGCAGCTCCCAGGAGCGGTCCAGCAGGCAGGAAGAAGAAAAAGCTGAGCTTCTAGACGCTTGTAAGAGAGCATTTATAACCCTTTGTTGCTCTTGGTGAAACCAATCCATATTGGTATTTGAAGTCCTCTCAGCTCTGCAAGCCCATAAAAAGCACAAGACAAATCAGTGGGCTACGAGTATGCACTTTTCATCTGTTTTTGCTATGCAGTTGTTTTAACTCTTCTTTCTCTATCCAAAGCAATAGGATCTGTAATTTTTGACAAGTATGATGTCCTGTGGATGGTGGGGCTGGGGCTGTTGCAGCTGGATGCCAGCAGTGAATGGGAAGTCTTTGCACGCACTACTGGAGCTAGTTCCATAATCTCAGCTGTGCCAATGCCATCCCTTCCAGGGCTGCCAGGCATAAAATCCAGGAGCCTAAAGATGCTTTAAACACTTAGAGGCAATAAGCCATCTGAAAAGCAGGAGTGGTTCTCTCTCAGAAGATGATGCTAAGTTACAGGGAGATTACAGGGCCAAGAACTGTGGAGGGAGGTGGAAAAGGAGGTAGAACACCATCCTCCAGTGCTTTCCTTCCTCCCTCATCTGGTTTTCACTCCTTACCCCACCTGGGCTTTGATGATTTTCCCTGAGAGGCCTTGGATCAGTCCCATTCTGTCTCTCCAGCCTTGGGAAATCTGCTTGCTGTCTATCAAGCCATCCAAATCCGGGTGGATTTCTTCCCCAGAGAATTCATTAACTGACTCTAACCCACCTCGTTGGGATTATAGCTGTCTTTCTTTGATACTGCTGTAGTCAGGAGACACGGCTGCATGCCATGTAGCATGTCTAATTTAGATTTGCTTTGCATGCTGTGGCACAGAAGGGGGAATGGATCCCCTGGGAGCCTGCTGTGAAGAAAGCAGCAGCTCCCCACTGCAGTCAGGGATGAACAAACCAGTCTTTTTTTCCCTCTTTGTGGGTGATGCCACAGAGAAAACTCTTCGGTCTTTATATTCTAATTATCTCAAAGTGCAGCCTCACTACTTGATTTGTGGATACTGCATATTAGAGATGAGCTGATGCATCTAACCCAGCTACAAGGAGCCCAATTAGCTAAGCTACACCTAGAAGTCATGGCAGGCAGGCAATGTTTCCTAGACAATTACAGTATGGCCTGGGGAATATTTCTGTACTCAGAAGCAGAGGTGCTTTAATCATCTGCAAAGCATAATTAGGGTCTGAACTAAGCATCTAAGTGGAGTGTGAAACAAGGCAAAAACAATATGTACAGTGTAGAAAAATAAGTTAGGGTAGGAAATGCTGGCTTTGCAGGATACTTCGGGTCTGTGCACTTTCCGGATGACACATTGTGGTTCTTCAGGTCTGATAATTACCAGCGAGGTAGGAAACAGCAAGCAGCACTGGAGGATTTGCATGAGTTGCTTCTAGGGTGCATGTGCAAACAACAGCCGTGCTGGTGCTTTATTTCCCTCTGCGGATATTATGGGCTGCTGTGTGCCAGCCTGACAGGCGGGCAGCCTGTCTTAGGACTTTTTTTGAGTGTCTGCTGTGGAACGTCTTCAAGGGCTTGGGGAATTGCCAACAATTCACCTCTCCCACTGCATACCTGCCTTTAATTGCAAACGAGATAGGCCATGACACAATATTGGCTGGTTAAAGTTTCCATCCCCCCAGCTACATGGTCCTGAATCCCATGTGCCACTGATTTGGCCTCTAGCTTGGAAAGGCTTATCATCCGTGCAGGCATCTGACCCAGCATGTTTCTTCCTCCTGCCGGGGGCTGCATTTCCTCCCTTGGTGAATGCAGCTGGCTTTAGCTGAGAGAGGCAAGACTAACCTCACATGTTCATAAAGCTGGCAATTTCTAAGTCCTTGCCAACCTGGCAATGCGTTTGACTGGCTAGCATTTATGGTGTGGGTGCCAGATGAGTGGGAGAAGCAAGGAAGGAGGGGGCTGTGATGCTGTGCCCCAGCAGAAGAAATGCAAGATGTCCATGGTTCATTTGCAGCTGTAAGCAGGGAAATGGGTAAAGTAGGTCAAAACTCTTCTTGCCTTATGGGGAGAGGGACTTTCCCCCTTAGTTTTTTTGGGTGTTTTTTTTGTCAGTGTGTGTTTTCCCCGTTGGTAAATGAGATTAAATGGAAAGGAGGTGCTGGGGAGGAAGGGCTGACTGAGGAACTAAGCACACAGAAAGAAAGAGATATGTTGGAAATTATAATGAAAAATCATAATTTTCTGTGCAAAAGGGGAATTCAGGCAAGAAGTAACTCCCTTTCAGACTATTTTAGTAGAGGATTGGGAGTGACTCAGATGGCAAGCACTGTTTTCAAAGAAAGCGGGGTGCTGTGGTTAACTCTTCAAGCACAGTTGGCTTGATTTCCCCTTTCAGATTCAACCGGAGCACTGAAAATGCTGTTAGCATCTGTATTATTTGGAGCTGGTGCCTGGGGCCTTGCTGTGCTGGAGCTCCTTCCCGAAAAGCCCAGGCAGCAAGAGAGCAGTCAGGGATGCCAGGGCAGCCTTGACATGACACTCTTCCAAAGCAAATAGCAGAGTTAGCTGGGGTATAACTTGTTTGCATGGCCAGTAATGTTTACTTAACTGCTTCTGGCAACCTTAACTAGAACAGTGTGACCTCCCTGCTCAAGATCATATGCTGTGATGAGTCAAAAATTAAGTTTATTGCAGAATCCTAAACTACTAGCAGAAACCTGAAGTTTTAACACCACCGTTGCTGTTACTGACATCTAAAATACAAACCTGCTCTCTCTGGATTTGAGTTCTTTCTTTGCTATTTGATCTCAAGGGGCATGTTTTTTAAGCTTCTAGTATTTGCTTAAAATTGAAAGTCATACCTGAATTTCTTAACCTTCTGTTTTGGCTCCATAATTCTATCTTTAAGCTTCATTATACTAGGTGATACTCAACCCTGGTAAGTAGAAAGTCAGTATTTGCAAACCACTGGTACAGCGGGTCCAACCATTTGCCCTGACTGAGAACCAGAATGTGACTGCGACATCCCAGGAGCTGCTGAGTGCTCCAGCTGTGAAGTTGGTATGAGCAAGGCTTTGACTGCCAGCCTAATATCTAGTCCACATGAAAGGTTTGTGACTCAAATATACTGCCTACTCCTTTTAGCTTAAAATGGTGAAGACCCACATGTCTAAAATGCAGGAGCAAATTTCTCTTTCAACTCTCCCAAGTTCATGGTTGTGACAAAGTTTGTCAGGAAAGTGAGTTGGACCAGCTAATAGATTAATAAAAACAGATGAGTTTTAGGAACACAAATCCTTGCTTGAGTCTTGTTTATGAGCACAAGTGCCTCTTGCTACAGTGGCTTGCTCCTGGATCCCAGGATTTGTATCTGGTTTTTAGAGCCAAGCACAAGAATTCACATTGTCCTAAAGCACACATGGTTAGAGTGCACAGGTTCCTCCCCATCCTGGGTGGACCTGCAGAGCTCTGCTGGGCTGGCCTGGCCTGAGATGCTCCAGGCTCATTGAGATGGCAAATATGGCTCCTGTGGTTTTTCTTGCTGAAGCTGGTAACTGGACAAGTGGCACGTGCTGCAGAGACCTTTCCAAACCCTGTTTGCATTGTTGCAGGGAATGTAAAACCACCCTAGGAACCAAGGCAGGTGTGGGGTTTATCCCCAGGTAGGAGTGCGCTGTCAGAGGCTGAATGCCTGCGGTGGGGCCATGGTGGTCTGTCTCAGTGCTCCTCGGCCTGCAGCCGGGGAAGAAGGGGCACTTTCCAGGCATTGCAGCGCCGGGGGCCAGCAGCAGTGGTGTCCTGCGCTGCAGTTCGAGGGGAGAGTGCCACCCCCTGGGTAGCTGGCACAGGGGATGCTGCGGGGAACATGTCCTGCCAATGCGCAGGTGCTGGCTGCAAGCAAGTTAGGCCCAGGTTTGACTTTGGTTGACGCAATCCTCAGCCCATCCTGCCAGCTAGATGGGGCTGAGGGAGGATTTGCCTGCAAACTATCTCACCTTCAACCTGACTGACCACAACCTGCTTTGGAAGCAGCCCAGGAGCTTCCGCTTCCCTCTCAGACATCCTCTTCTACCCACCACACCAGGTACTCTCAGAAATCCACTTCTAATATTTGCTTAATTTTTTGAGTGCTGTCTTTACACCCAGCCAAATGCCTGACTTTGTGGCTCCCCCTACCTGCGCTCTTGCCCCTCTTCAGCCTTTTCTTCTCCCTCAGCTTGAAATGAGCCTGTGCGTGCCAAGTCCAGGAGAGAGCATGAATGTGAAAAGCCTATTTAAGAGCTCCTCAGGATGGGTAGGTTTCTAAACACAACAACTGCTTCTGCGCTGGACAGAGGAGACCAAATAGCTCTTGAAGCAAAAAGGAGTGTTTTTTTTAGCATTTTGGGCAGCCTCGAGAGAGACATGTGTTGAGGAAAAAAACAAATCCTATCCTTCACACCTGCCTGAAGACACAAGTAAGCTACTTCTCAGGCACCATTTGAGATATGTGAAGGCTACTGTAGAAACTATGCTTAGGTCAAGGCTTTCCTTAAGTCAAAGAAAAGCCAGTTACAGCCTCTACAGGATGACCTGTGAGCATCACAAGGCAAAGCCTGGAGGACACCTTTAACTTGGGTGCCCAGGCAGGATTTGCAAGTGAATGAAACACCAAGTGACTGCTCTAGGAAGAGAGATGTTGGGGAACGGGATTTTTTTTCAGCATTCCTCCTGCAAGGCCACTCCAGGGCGATGCCAGGTTTGTCTCCTACATTTTTAAAGCTACATT